TCTATTAATTTGGGTTTTTTTGTTCTGGTCTGCTTAAGATATATCAAACGGTTTGAATTACCTTTTCAAAAAACAACGAACTCCAAACCGGTGGAGAACATATCAAAAACACCACATGTTCCTAGGGCTTGGGCGCCCGATTTACGTCTGAAATAATGTCCATTCCTGAATCCTTATTATTTTCATAAACTTATCGATACGATATCTATAGTTGATTAGTGCTATCAGATATTTCACAAGCTGAAATATTAATATTTCTAAATCTCGAATCACGACTTTTACCAAATACCTTGAGAAAGCGTGACGTGATCACTACTTCGAGAACTAGGTGAATGGTATCATAAAATCGCGGTTTTAACGTAAAACTACTATGGGTTGCAAGCGATACCGTGCCTTATAGGCTTTGGTAATTGACTCCATGCGATTTTATCGCTCAGAAAAAGCAACGGTACAGGGTGCGGCAGAGAGGATGGACGTTTTTTTGATGGGTAGTACTCTCCGCCTCCGTCTACGAGAGAGGTGGGGAGGGTGCCGTTTGACTCGTGAGATCCTAGCATTATTTTACCAGTTGTCGTTATGGAGCCTTGGACGGTAGAGCACCGCGTTTTCGCCTACGAGTGACGAAGCCCACTTTCACCTAAACAGCATAGTTAACCAGCAGAGTTGTCGTTATTGGGCTAATGAAAATCCGCAACAGTTACACGAAAGACCGCTGCACAGCCCAAACGTAACGGTTTGGTGCGCTGTATCGCAAACTTGCATCATTGGCCCTTCTTCGAAGACGGTAATGGTCGTGATGTTACCGTGAACTCAGAGCGCTACGTCGACATGATCACCAACTTCTTTCTCCCTGAATTACGACGGCGACGTGTTCCAATCCGACGTGTGTGGTTCCAGCAGGATGGGGCGGCCGCCCACACAGCCCGAGCATCCATGCACGTTATTCGCCCTCTCTTCCCTGGTCGCCTTATTTCCAGGTTTGGCGATGTTCAGTGGCCTCCTCGGTCCCCAGATTTATCCATATGCGATTTTTTCTTATGGGGACACCTCAAGGCTAGAGTATACGCGAACAAGCCCCGAACTCTGGACGAATTGAAGGGCGAAATTCACGTGGAAGTCGCCCAAGTTGAGAGAGCGATGTTGGAGAGAGTCTACGCGAACTTCCAAGAACGCCTCCAGCACTGCATCAACGATTTCGGCCACCACATGCCTGATGTGATTTTCCACACTTGACTGTCTCAATTGCTATTTCCATCAATAAATTAGTTTTCGAGTAAAAATTAACTATTTTATGATTTTTTTAAAACCGTCCATCCTCTGCCGCACCCTGTATAAGGTAAGTTATGGAATCCTGTTGGTAACATAACTATGTGGTACAAGCCCTTTATTCCAACAAATTGAATTGTATGGCAAGCAAGCCCATTAAGAAATATTTACTTTTTACTTCTTTTTTTCGATACAGCTCTGTTATTTTTCCTATAAAGATTAGAATTATATCGAGGCACAGACAGATTTTGTTCAATACTTGTAACCACTCTTCGTTCCTGCAATAAAGTCTGTTATTTTTTTTACCATACGACGTGTGCATTCTTTATCTGGTATCACAGGTATCCAAAAATAACGATATCGGCTATCTCCATATTCGATACTTTATTGGGTTTTAAAAACATGACTAAATCCCTTTTGCGGATACCATCTTCTTCGTCTAACGCTAGACCGACGTTTGACTTTTTCGCCGTTGAATAATTGTAATATGGTATATACAGGGTGACTTCGAAGTTGAGTCATTTATTTTAACAGTGAGTAGATCTGATCAAAAGAAATGTTTTTTTCCTTTACCATTTTTCTGGTAAAATTAAAGTAACAAAGTTATAGCCCTTTGGAAGTTTAAGTACCGCCCTGCCTATTATATTCTCGTGTTTGGCGACAACGGATATAATCCGCCTGACCGGTTCATTGCATCGGAAACAAAAAAGCGAAAGAATTTGAAACGTTTATCACGATGTTTTTCGTCAGTCGATAACGCGTAAGTGAATAGTAGTGTGTTGCGTGGCTCAAACGAAATCAAAAATGGCACATGTTTACAAAAATGCTGAACTTGTGGACATGATTCTTATTTACGGGGGGGCAGTCTTTACAAAATGCTCCCGGTTGCATCACGGATTTATGCGAATCGGTTTCCCAATCGAGTGCAACCAACCCCTCGTGCCTTTGTTAATGTAGTACAAAGGGCTCGTGAATCAGGTGACTTAAGACCTCACAGGTGAGGGCATGCTGCTCCAAGACCGCACGATCAAATACAGGTCCGCACTGAAATACTTGTCGGGAGGATACTTTATTAAACAAGGTAACATCTTTTTTTTATTTTTTTTTTATTTTTACACACATATTTTGGTTTATCTTCCTTCTACAATCATTATCTGAAAATTAATGACTCAACTTCAAAGTCACCCTGTATTAATAAGAGCACTAGCTATTTTATAGCATTAAAATCGACTTCACGCGCACATTCACCATTTTTGTAAATCAGCAAATCTCATCCTCTATTTCTGAGAACTTTTTTTCAGGAAAGCGAGAAATATATGGAATCGCACGTAGAACTGCAGTTCTCGATTACTCGAGAAGTTGACGTTACACGGTTATGAAAACTTGGGTTTATGATATAACTGTTATGAGAAACCTAGCTCAAATATTTTCAAAATAGTGGCACTTCCGGTTGTACCGGAGCAAGATACGATGTCCCTCACTTCGAATGAAACATCTTATATTCTCAATTTCTGAAATTTTCGCAAGATTCTAAACACATACGGTTTCCTTCCGGTAACGGAAATTGCTTTTCCTTGAACAACCTTTGAACAAGAAAATTCAATGAAATTCTAACAGCATAGTAACCAGATATATCATCTCATGATTATATTTATGGAAACTAGTTAGCTCATTCAGATCGCCTAGGATGGACTAGTCCTAACTCAGTATTGCTGATTTTTTAATTACTCGAACGTAGTATTTTTTTATTCTTTCTCGACTTTAATAAGAGATCTGAAAAGCTTATATCCTGCAGTTTTTCGGACCACTGATCATGCATCTGTTACAAGAACCATTATATTTTCATACAAGTATACTCGAGTACCAGTACCAATAATGATACAACTGTATTGGAAGAATATCGTCTTTCTCAAAAAGTGTATTTTGGTGATGCCCAACAAGAATACGTTTTCCTTTTCAGCTTAAAGAACAGGATTTCCAAGAATACCACGGCCAACTAATTTTTGTAGAGGCTTTTAGAATTAGCTATTTTACTTTGGGGCTAGTCCATCTCTTGCGATCTAAATGAGTTTTTCATATTCGGCTTCACGTAGTCATCTCCTGTCAAAATTCCGTTGGATTATACACGGTGTTCCATTTTATTCTGCTTACCTAAATTTTTATAAAACTGGGCAATCCAGAAAAAAAGTTCCAAAACAAAAGGTGTAGGGTTTGGAAAGAACAAGTGATGCTGATCTTCTAGTTCATTTTAGGGACAAGTGGATATTTCCAAATGGAACACTTCCTTTTTCACATTTGACTTTGACATTCAAAGGCCATTTCAAACTTAAATCAAGACTTCAAAAGCAAGAGCACAGTTGTGAGGTTTGTGGGGATCACCCAAAGGTTCCAAAATTTCCAAAAGAAACCTCTCATTCTTATATGAAAAATGAAAAAAGCAGGAACCTTTACGTACAAATGTAACCTAGTCCTCAATGTCAAGATATTGTCAAGCTCAAATGTTATGTGAGGCCAAGAAAACATCCAGGCGTGAGATTTTCTGCCTTTTCCATCTCCAGTATGAAAATGAGAGTTTTATTTTGGAAATTTTGACTTGAATTTGAATGTCATGGTCAAGGTTACCTTTGGGTGGTCGCACACACTATGTTGTCGAACATTTTTGCTACACTTATTTGTTTTCGGTATCTCGATTTGATTTTGAAACCAATTGACAAATCCATGGCCCAGGTGATATTTAGCTGTAAAATTTACTCCTCTTTTCAATTCCGATGCAAAATATTCACTTGACCTTGAAATGACTTCAAAGCTCGTAGTCAGTTATTGCCAAGGTTGCTATCATGTTACACCCTCGAAACCCTGCAGCTTTCACTTTAAAAAATTTTTCTACCATGCACAGTTTTAGAAATATTTAGGTGCGGAGATTAAAATTAGACACCTTGTACAGTGTCGTTAAACGGTTATTCAAGAACTTGTAAAACCCAAATTCTAGTGGCGTGGTTTATTAGCACTTTTTAGGACATATTTGTGTCATAATGTTTTTGTTTTCTATTGCCTTTTTATTCTTCGACACCCTGTAGACATTTGCATGAGATACTTATTACGACGATTATAGACATGTCTACATTATTGCGTATTTCTCTTCCATTTTGTTTTTTTTTTAGGCACCGTTTAATCACGTGAGGTGCTTACGAGTCTCGACATATGTCGCGTATTTTTTTCCGAAGAGTGGCTAAATTAGAGCCAAGTTAAAGGAGCTGATGATTTTATTGAAAATCACATGGATATGTTGGTTCCGATAGTCACTTTTGAGACAGCAAAGAATGAATAAGAAAAACATATTTTTTATTGATTCTAGTATTTCCCATTTATGTATTTTATTGTTAATTTTATTATTATTGTGATCTTAGACTACGATCTAAGAAATCTTAAAAACTAGTCTTCATTAGTCTTGAATGGATATAATGATGCAAATTGTGCTGTTAAATAAATCTAACACATTTCATGGCATCTCACCAGGGAGGACGTAATTAATGGATGCCTCCTTTGGAATTTCCAGTTACGCGTCCACTATAAAATTCTGTTAATTTTACGCATCAAAAGAATGCGAAACTTTGCCCCACCGCGCGAGATGAAGATGAAAGAAAAGGGGAAAGCGTACCAGTGTGGAGGTAGCTTAGGGGATATTACAAGAAACACATAAACTCAAAGTTCTGACAAATCAAAAGGAATATTTAGGGTAATGGTGTGAACCGAACCCACATTATCCGAGTTTCCAGGCCACTACCTTTCCATTAGGCTACACTACCTCGGTGGTCTCACAAATATAAAGGTGATATGTAAGCTTCATTCCCTACCCCAATTACCGTTACTGGGGCTGGCCAGTTACCCGTATCTCTATGACCCAGGCAGATAATTTTTGGAGTTAAGTTGTAGCATTGTATCCAGCCCAAAGTTCATAATAATTCACATGTTCAATATACGTTTTCCCTCTTTTCCCCTCTTTATTTGTCATACCGGTCAAGTTAGCAAGCTGAAATTCGGTGTGATATAACTGAAAATACTATATTTTGACAGAATGGAGGTCCACGTGGTACCTCATTTTGCTGCTTATGAGTACCTCATGAGCTTTAAATATAAAATCAATAACCCCTAAAATGGTGGACTAGCAGGCTGTCAAACTTTAGCCTTTTTTGGTCAACACGTTTCAGTATCTTACGTCAAACTTTTGGTAGGTCTCACAATGTAAGGGCACCGAGGCTGCTATGAGGAGCTTAATGATACTTTGTTATACCGATTTTTGAACTTCCCAAGGTTAGTAGAACTGGGGAAAAGCCTCGTCAATCTCGATATACTAGAGACAAAGATGCTTCAAAAAGGGAATCTTCACACGAGCACGTTTTGATAATAAGTTATTGAGTTATAAGCGATTTTACATTTTAGCGTTATAAGGTAGATACTCATAGAAAGATTCAATATCTGATATTACATTCTATTTAAAAAAATGGTTCAAGTTGGCGTCCAAGCGTCATCCTGAAATTTTTATAATACAGGGTGTGAACGTAATGATGGTCATTATTTAAATGGGTGAGTTAAAAGAAGCAAAAGGTTTCATATAACAAGGGGGTCAAAACGGCATTTTTTTAGAAAAAAGCGACTTGAAAGTAAAATAAATCTGACAACGCCGCAAAACTATGCAAAAGGATAACTAAACACTGTTACCATTTGTGATCGATTGCCGGTTCGATAAGAGAGATGAAAGACTGACGCGCTGTTGTCATGTGTGTTTTAAATATTTAATTTTTAATGAAACTTACTTACTGACTACAAATTTTGGCTTAACTTAGAAAAAATTAATGCCATTTATTTGTTAATTACCCAATTTAAAAACATTCTAGACGAGATTATAAAAATTAGTAAGATTGTGACGAGTGTGGTCGATATAAAGCACAGTTGTAAACTATAAAGCCATTTAGACAAAAATCTATTGAGTTTTGGATCATGGGTCATATGAACTTTTTGACTTGTTTTGACCCCCCCCTATTACCCATTTCAGTAATGACTACCATAACGTTTACACCCTGTATACTAGCTTTCTATCAACTTACTAATTGCGTGCTCAGCAGTTTTATGTAACAGTCGGGAAACCGCAAGCGTTTACCTTTTGGAGAAGAAATTGGAGACATTTTTGTTAATTTTTAAGGACTGCCGTTATCGCTATTTTATCTAATACAAGAACTATATACAAAATTAACCACTTTGATGTTTATGGTAGCTGTTGTAATGAAGCAATATGCTCACTCCGCGGGCATCATTTGTGTTGTGCTGGGTACTGGCTCGCTATTAGACTAAGATATCCAGAATTTCAGAAAAAAAATGTATGATAAGATTTTACAACAGAAATATATTTCCTGATAGTGAACGAAAATGTTGTTTATCTAGAGATACAATAAATTTTAATGGATGTATGTATACAACAGATATCTAAAACACAATTCCTTAGTATTTTTTCTTGAAAATTCATAATTGCCACTAATTTTTTTGAAGTTAGTAGTCATTGTTTAGGAGCTGTGTAAATTGGACATATTATGTGTCACTTTGAAAGGTTTATCCATCGTCTACAACTCTTCTGCAAATCACATCATATTGTTTTGAATATAGCTGAAAAACTTGTTTCTCTCTGAAGCTCAATAAAAGGGCTACCCAGCATAACGTTTGTATCTCTAGACGGAAGATATATCAACTTTCCTGTAGTAAAATACTCCAATACATTTTTTTCTAGAACATCGTTTTGGCTAGTTAGCCTTATTTATACAGGATGTTTCAGAACTAAGGGATCAAATTTCTAGGGGTTATTCAGTGTAACAGTAGAAAACATTTGAGTATAGGGACCCATATCCGGAAAAGCGTCACTACGGCACTACGGCCCTAAGACGCGTTAAAATTTGGAAAGACGATGAATTGCCTAAATAGGATTTAATGCATTTAATTTTTGTTTTTGTACATGATATCATCACAACAATTGTTCAAAATGTCTTCCTCCAACTTGAATACACCGATTTAAATGTCGTCCTACTATTAAAAATACCGTCTCTTGTGAAAGAGGCTTCATCGGTCCATAAAACATAGCGTAAAAACTTTGGTTGTGCAGCGATTTGATGAAGAAGCCATTGACAAAATTGAACTCTAGGATGACAATCGGCTGTAGTCAACCCTTGAACTCTCTGGAAGGGGTAAGGATAAAGTGTAGCACTCGCCAGACGGAAGCGTTACTCGTATTCATATCTTCAGCAATGTGACGTTTGCTACTTGATGGTTCGTCGGCAACTCGCTGAAGGATCTCTCCTTGAAATTCGACCGTTCTTACGGTTCGAGCAACACCAGTATCATGCATGTTGGTTTTAAACATGCCTGTCTCGGAGAGCCGTCGATGAATAGCAATAAACTTTTTGTATCCCGGATGCTGTCGATCGGGATAACGTTCTTGATACAACCACGTGCATTGCGGCTTGTTGCTCCGTATGCCAAATGCATATCCGCCAATTCTTGATCGGTAAAGTTTTCCATTAGCAACAATTAATTTTTGTTAAATTCTTGCAAACTTCACAAATACGATAGCACGACTGAGGCTGTATGGAATGCAGCTACAAAAAACAATCTCTGTTATCGTATTTAAAAATAGCAACACAAAAGCGCCGGATATCAAATGTTTTCTACTGTTAAACTGAATAACCCCTACAAGTTTGATCCGATAGTTTTGAAACACCCTGTATAGTGGACCTGTGTCTATATTTCATATTACAACGTAAAACAAAACAGATCCTTACGTCGGTGCAATTGTATGAGTCCTGTATCCTGCATGTGACGATAACGTAGATGTTTTGATGTCGATTCAGCCAAACTATGGCGACGTTGTTTTGACCATAAAAGGAAGCGCTGGTGACGTAACTGTCTGGTTCTACGCTATTCGTGGGCTTGAGTTCGAAGGGGAAAAGGTATTTGGGTCGAGTTAAGTTCACGATCCAGACGGTGACTTCCGGATTCGGTGTTTCGGCCTGGAACAAAATAACATTTTATGAGAAAATAATGTTTGTATTATAAAATCGTATAAAATTTTGTGATGACACAGTTCCAGTGCATTAAAGGTGGATGTTTTTGTATCGCTTTCCAAGAAATCAGGTTATTGCATTATTTTTGTAGACGGTTTTCATAAGATTACAGACTTTGTCGTAGATAGTAAGAATCATGTTTCACAATGGGTCACACATATACTCGTACTTCTATACCCACTACCTATCTTATTTATTATTTATTTTATTTATTTATTTAGCCACATCCAACAGCCAAAGCCAATTACAGGATCGATAAAAATGAAAATAAAAAGAAATGCATATAAGTGGAAGATGTATGTAGAGAAAGCTGAAACGCTTAAAAAAAATCACAAACAGAACTCTGAGGAAAAAAGCGTTCGAGCTTTACCCACCCATCACTCAACAATGACACCGAGTACATGTATGCAAGCATTAAGGAAAATAAGCATTAATACCTCCCAAAGTCGAACCAACCAAAATATATCTACAACGTTATTAACTGAGTAGCACCATCGTTATGTACTTTTGTTTCGCCTTGTCGGAGTTCCATTCATTGAGAACATGATTTGACCCGTACAAGCCACGTAAATCGAAGCATCCGCTGCGAACAAGCTGCGTGGTTTGGAGCAATGTATTTTTCACGTAGAGAAATTTATTTGTCGCATCAAAAGTCATGGTTCCGATGACATCACAATTGATATGTTCGGTATAATATAAGCATTTGCTCAAGGATATTTCCTTCATTATTAACTTTTGTATAACAAATAATCTTTATCCCTTCTCTTGGAAGAATAATCTTGTCCTCCGTCTGCCTAAGTCTAATAATCCTTTAGTTGTTTGTGAATTTCGGGCTGTAAGCATTTTAAATTTCTAAGCTTTAGAAACTGCCCTATACGAGCAATTGCATGCTTTTCTCCACTGCCCAATCTGGTTTCAGACCATTACATTGCAGAACCAACGCACTTCTGTCGATATAAAATGATATTTATAGTGTAGTTGATCAAGGATAGATGTCTTGCTTAATTCTTCTTGACTTTGGTTAATATAATAAAAGAAACTAAATTTCGTGCATTCACAATTGCAAAAAAACGTTCCAGGTTTCAACAGACAACAAAACTAACCGTCAACTAATTGACGTTTAACCTTATTCTGCTTTCAATTTCAAAAATATTTACAGGCACAGCCTACTTCTAAAAATTATCGAGATACTGACTTTTTAACGTTATTTTATCATAAATAATTAAAAATGCATCGAACCTTTAAAATCGAAATATGTCAAGAACGGCTAACTATAACGAAAATTCACAAGAGAGCTGTTTTATGTTGAAAAGTGCGAAGAATCAGTTTTTTTATTCAAAAAGCAAAAAATTGCACTAAGAAAAAATTTTCGGTCACTTTAATACACTACAGGTACAGTAGAGGGCGCCCTCTAGCGGCTAGAGTAAAACTATTCCCATGGCTCGTTTTGTCGTACCAAAAAACCTCTGTATACCAATTTTCACTGTTATACATCAAATATTGTTCGAAATATTTAAAAAAAACTTTATAAAGTAAATTTAAACACCCTGTATTTCGGAAGCCACGCATTTTTGACCCATGTTTATATAGACTTTATGCATTAATTTTAAAAGTTCTATAAAATCTTAAAGTTATGCAACAATAAACTGAAACACCCTGTATATGCAAATTTGCTGAATTTAAAAAATGAGAGACATAAGAAAAGAAAGTCTCTAGTTAGTGATGTACATTAGTACCAACAGGCGAGAAAATATGCGACAAACAAGAATATTTATGACATTTTACATTATTTTTTATTTCCAGTCATATAAATTTTATAGAAATTTATTTTGCGATGTCATGTAGATAATTCAAATCATCGCCTAGATGTGAGGCATTTGACAATGTTTTGTGTGTGATGCGTCATCCCTATTTTTTGTGGATTAATTACATAATGCTTCTCAAAGTTTTTTGAAATACGAAAAAAAAACGAGGAAAATCGCAATTTATAACTTTGAACATAACCTGTCTTCAGAAAGGACAAAACAAATAGCCCGTCTGGTACAGCTAATAGATGTACTTCATGGGCAGCATATTCAGTAACAATTTCCTCACATAACAAATATCACTGATTTCATACGCATGCAGACGAATACACATAATCACCACACAATCATCCAGATGCGATCCTGCTTCTCTGCTACTCAACTAATTTTCTTCGTCACATGTTCTCAGAGATATACTCTACATACTGTCTCGGCGTTCTGCAACCAACGAAGCATGCTGGGGAACTATTGAGCGTGTCGTTGAGACATTCCTCCACAGATGGCGCTTTTGGTGACGCTCATAGCGAGCACTAAATATCCAGATAGCAACTGGACATATTGTAGGTTTGTTTTGACACGATATAAGGTTTTTTTCGTAATAACCCTGCCGGATACTTAGCATTAACCTCTCGATGCACGAGTTGCTGTATGAAACTCAAAACAACTGGAGTCTGGAAACTCGCAGCACAGATGCTTTTCAAATAACTTGTTTGAATCATGTTATAAAGTTGCACTATATGCCTCTGTAGTCCATCTACACATTTGTAGTTACGTCCACACTTCGTAGGGGTCCTAGTAGTGACAAATGAAAATGTATACATTAACTTTCTGGAATGAGTGCAGACTACCATGCCACGCAAGCAGTGAATTAATTATCTCCGCGGCATACTGTACTTGTCTTGTTTCTTCACCGTTAATTATTTCACATACTACCACGAATGTCTGTGCTAAGTGTTTCACTGAACTGAGCGGCTTAGAGCAACTCGAAAGCCTTCAGATATGCTAATCAGGTATAAGAGTCTTGCGAGTTGTGCTTGGCGATTATATTAAGCTAGTAGTTTGGCGAGGTTTGACTGCGTCTTCCCAAATTACAACGAAAGTTGCTATTTCAAAAGAGAAATCAAGCATAATAATAATAATAATAATAATAATAATAATAATAATAATAATAATAATAATAATAGCTTTATTGTCCAACAGTTTCCCATTTATAGGACAATAATACAAAAGCAAAAAAAGCGAAAAGAAAACAACAAATGCAGCACAGGTATAAATTTGTAACATGAGCTATTGGTCCGAATAAGCCTTAGCTGCCTTTAGCAGGTAATTAACATTTGTCGTAAATATATCACAGTAACATCCAATTCTGTTTAAGTTAGAGCACATTACATATAACGGTGACTTGAGAAGAATGTTTGTCCTAGCTCTAGGAAGCCCGAATATTTTATGATTGCGAGATGCAAACGTTGGAGTACGAAACTTGATCTGTTCCAGGATCATGTCAATCAATTAAATTGTTGTCATTTTGTAGCCAAATATTATTGAGGCACAGTACCTACGTTTTTTTAAAGTCAACATGTCTAAGCGACTACATAGTTCCTCATTACTTGTACCTCTCTCTGGATATGTCCCATCAATCCTAAACAGAACAAACTTCATAAACTTCCGTTGTACTCTTTCAATAGCTGTGCTATAGCATTCATAGTAAGGGCTCCAAATACTACTACAATATTCGACTTTGGATCTAACATATGCATAATATAATAGCTTAATAGACTTTATGTTATGAAAATTCCTGTAATTCCTTACTATGAAACCATAAGCCGCCAATGCTTCTGATGCTTTTTTATTTATATGCTGACTAAAACTTTTGATCATAGATTATACCTAAATCACGTACATCAGAGCATCTTTCTAGCACAGACCCATCAATAGAGTACGGATATTCGCAAACATTAATTTTCCTGGTATAGCTAACTATTTTACACTTCCTCACATTAAGTTCCAACTTGTTTTCTACATACCAAGACAGTACAAAATTTAATTGGTGTTGTAGTATCTGCGAATAAATTTTTAGGTCGTCAGCAAGGCATAGGCGTTCGCATTCAACTGAGTCACAGAGGTCATTAATAAATATCAAAAACAGTAATGGTCCCAGGTTGGACCCCTGAGGAACTCCAGAAGGTGCCAAGTAGGTCTCAGATTGGAAGCCATTATAGCTAACAAATTGTCTACGATCGGATAAGTAAGATTTCATCAACTCCCTAGCATCATCTGTGAAACAAAGTGCACCTAATTTATTTAATAAAGTTTTGTGGTTAATTTTATCGAAAGCCTTCGAAAAGTCGGTATAAATAACGTCAACTTGCTCATTACTATCAATGGCTTCCGAGAGGTACTGCGTTATTATAAATAGATTTGTGGTTGTTGAGCGATTAGCGAGAAATCCGTGTTGACGCAATGATAGCTGACGCTGGATGGCAGTGTAAATGCGAATGTACAAGACTATTCCAAAGAAATTCGAGAACATGCATAATATAGAGATTGCCCTGTAATCCTCAATATTTGACTTATCCCCACACTTAAACACTGGACAGACCTTAGCGATCTTCCAAATATTTGGAAATCTTTTTGTTATAAGACAAATAGTTAGAACACCAACAAACACTTCCACACAATCTTTGAATATAAAGGACGGGATGCCATCTAGACCAGATGTCATCTTATCCTTCAGTGATTTAATGGCCTTCCTGACTTCATTTTCCTCAATTGGATGAAAATGGACAAATAAATTACTATGATTTAGTGAGGCATTATTATGGGGCTTGTGAGTGACATAGACGCTGCTGAAAAACTCACTGAATGCGTTTACTTCCTGAGGCTGATCTATAGAATTATTTTGAAATTTCATTATCCCTGGGATTCATGATGTGTTGTTTTTGGAGTGAACGTATGACCAAAAAGCATTGGGGTTAATTGTTAATGAATTCTGGATATTTTCAATACATTGATAATACGCTGATTTAATCTGGTTTTTTATTAAGCGGCGCAAACGTTTGAATTCTTCAACAAAAGCAGACCTGTTGATTTTTTTCCTAAATTTAGCTTTAATTTTAATGTTCTTAATAATAGCTGAGTGAA